CATCTTCTTGGTTCTTTCGGTAAAGTCACGTAGAAGGGAAATAATAAAATAATAAAAATTTAACATAATAAAATAATTCTCACGACGTTTCGGCCACAACGCAAGCAGCCGTCTGAAGCTGTCTTTCCGACAGACCTGTTCTTCACCTGAGGACAGCTGCTTGCGTTGTGGCCGAAACGTCGTCAGAATTATTTTATTATGTTGTATTTTTATTATTTTATTATTTCCCTTCTACGTGACTTTACCGAAAGAACCAAGAATATGAATCCCTGCAGTCACGAAAGCTTTAAATCGAAATTTGATCTGGAGTCGTCGGGTTCGTACCGCAGCGCGCTCACCGCTGCACCACTCCTCTCCCTCCACCCCACCACGCTCCGTCTCTCTGCTGTCACCAATTCACATCCTCCCCCATTAAAAATTACACGCTGCCCGCGCCCGGTGATTGTTAAACACGTCCCACGTGACGCGCGAAGCACTTTAAACGATGCCCGCGTTCACAGAGCCGATGCGAATTCAGATTGAGATCTGAGTGTACGTGTGTGTACACGTGTTCCGCGTGCCGTGTGTGCACAGTAATACCCCCATTTACGTCGCCCCCTTTTTACGTCGTTTCGCGAATACGTCGTAAATTTACTAACCACCAGCAGCAGCTGATTTGCGTCGCCTCGACCCACACTTCCGTCGCAGGCAGCATCGTCCTGTCCTTTCTCGATATCTGTCGCCTTCGCAGCCTTCGACACCAAACACCACCACCTACCTACTTACTACTACTACCCTGTGCATCGCTTCGATTGACGTTTCGATATTCGTTGTCGCAACTTTACAAAGAACGCATCCCCGACGTAAACCGGGGAAATTACGGTGCACTCGTCCGACGTGTGTGTGTATGTTGTACACGTGTCCTACGTGTGTGTGTGTATGTTGTACACGTGTCCCAAGTGTGTGTGTGTGTGTTGAACACGTGTCCTACGTATGTGTGTGTATGCTGTACACGTGCCCACGTGTGTGTGTGTGTATGTTGTACACGTGTCCCACGTGTGTGTATGTGTGTTGTACACGTGTCCCACGTGTGTGTGTATGTTGTACACGTGTCCCACGTGTGTGTGTATGTTGTACACGTGTCCCACGTGTGTGTGTGTATGTTGTACACGTGTCCCACGTGTGTGTATGTTGTACACGTGTCCTACGTGTGTGTGTATGTTGTACACGTGTCCCAAGTGTGTGTGTGTGTGTATGTTGTACACGTGTCCTACGAGTGTGCGTATGTTGTACACGTGTCCCACGTGTGTGTGTGTTGTACACGTGTCCCACGTGTGTGTATGTTGTACACGTGTCCCACGTGTGTGTGTTTTGTACACGTGTCCCACGTGTGTGTGTATTCTGTACACGTGTCCCACGTGTGTGTGTGTGTTGAACACGTGTCCCACGTGTGTGTGTGCTGAACACGTGTCCCACGTGTGTGTGTGTGTTGTACACGTGTCCCACGTGTGTGTGTTGTACACGTGTCCCACGTGTGTATGTATGCTGTACACGTGTCCCACGTGTGTGTGTATGTTGTACACGTGTGCCACGTGTGTGTGTGTGGGTGTGTTGTACACGTGTCCCACGTATGTGTGTGTATGTTGTACACGTGTCCTACGTATGTGTGTATGTTGTACACGTGTCCCACGTGTGTGTGTGTTGTACACGTGTCCCACGTGTGTGTGTGTGTTGTACACGTGTCCCACGTGTGTATGTATGCTGTACACGTGTCCCACGTGTGTGTGTGTGTGTATGTTGTACACGTGTCCCACGTGTGTGTGTGTGTGTTGTACACGTGTCCCACGTGTGTGTGTGTGTTGTACACGTGTCCCACGTGTGTATGTATGCTGTACACGTGTCCCACGTGTGTGTGTATGTTGTACACGTGTGCCACGTGTGTGTGTGTGTGGGTGTGTTGTACACGTGTCCCACGTATGTGTGTGTATGTTGTACACGTGTCCTACGTATGTGTGTATGTTGTACACGTGTCCCACGTGTGTGTGTGTTGTACACGTGTCCCACGTGTGTGTGTGTGTTGTACACGTGTCCCACGTGTGTATGTATGCTGTACACGTGTCCCACGTGTGTGTGTGTGTATGTTGTACACGTGTCCCACGTGTGTGTGTGTGTGTGTTGTACACGTGTCCCACGTGTGTGTGTGTGTTGTACACGTGTCCCACGTATGTGTGTATGTTGTACACGTGTCCCGCGTGTGTGTGTGCATGTTGTACACGTGTCCCAAGTGTGTGTGTGTATGTTGTACACGTGTCCCACGTGTGTGTGTGTATGTTGTACACGTGTCCCACGTGTGTGTGTGTATGTTGTACACGTGTCCCACGTGTGTGTGTGTGTTGTACACGTGTCCCACGTGTGTGTGTGTGTTGTACACGTGTCCCACGTATGTGTGTATGTTGTACACGTGTCCCACGTGTGTGTGTGTGTTGTACACGTGTCCCACGTGTGTATGTATGCTGTACACGTGTCCCACGTGTGTGTGTGTATGTTGTACACGTGTCCCACGTGTGTGTATGTGTGTTGTACACGTGTCCCACGTGTGTGTGTATGTTGTACACGTGTCCCACGTGTGTGTATTTTGTACACGTGTCCCACGTGTGTGTGTATGTTGTACACGTGTCCCACGTGTGTATGTTATACACGTGTCCCACGTGTATGTGTGTATTCTGTACACGTGTCCCACGTGTGTGTGTGTGTGTTGAACACGTGTCCCACGTGTGTGTGTATGCTGTACACGTGTCCCACGTGTGTGCGTGTTGAACACGTGTCCCACGTGTGTGTGTATGTTGTACACGTGTCCCACGTGTGTGTGTGTGTGTGTTGAACACGTGTCACACGTGTGTGTGTATGCTGTACACGTGTCCCACGTGTGTGTGTATGCTGTACACGTGTCCCACGTGTGTGTGTATGTTGTACACGTGTCCTACGTGTGTGTGTGTGTGTTGTACACGTGTCCCACGTGTGTGTGTGTGTATGTTGTACACATGTCCCACGTGTGTGTGTATGTAGTACACGTGTCCCACGTGTGTGTGTATGCTGTACACGCGTCCCACGTGTGTGTGTATGTTGAACACGTGTTCTACGTGTGTGTTGTACACGTGTCCCACGTGTGTGTGTGTTGTACACGTGCCCCGCGTGTGCGTGTGTGTATTCTGTACACGTGTTCTACGTGTGTGTATGTTGTACACGTGTCCCACGTGTGTGTATGTAGTGGATTAACGCGCGCCAAGGGAGAAATTGTAAACACGTGTGGGTTATGGACAGTGGGGTCGCATCAGGACAAGCAGATGTTGCTGGGGGATAACGGCCAGAGAGAGACGGCTCGTTAGGTAATTATGGGATGTAGGGCAGTGATTGGCCGGTTGTTGTTGTCAGGGGCAAGGTGGCGCCAGCAAGTCTGGGGATGGGAGCAGGTGGCGGTGGGGGCCGCGGGTGTCGTGGGGGGGGCCGTTAATTAATCGGAAATTAATGAGGACGGGGATAAATACGGGAGCGTGAGAGTGAGACAGGGAGTTGTGCTGGGAGCTGGACGGAGACAGTCGGAGCAGCAGAAGAAGAATAGGTTAGCAGTAGAGACGGAGAAGAAGAATATATGAGAGATAGAATAGGGTAGCGGTGGAGCAGGATAAGAAGACGAGATGAGAGATAGGATAGGCTAGCAGTGGTACGGGAACAGAGAAGACACGAGATGAGAGAGACAGTCGGAGTGAGATGAGAGGGAGAGCGACAGTTGGAGTGAGACGGAGACGAGAGGGAGAGCGACAGTTGGAGTGAGACGGAGACGAGAGGGAGAGCGACAGTTGGAGTGAGACAAGAGGGAGAGCGACAGTTGGAGTGAGACGAGAGGGAGAGCGACATTTGTAGTGAGTCGGAGACGAGAAAGAGAGCGACAGTTGGAGTGAGTCGGAGACGAGAAAGAGAGCGACAGTTGGAGTGAGACGAGAGGGAGAGCGACAGTTGGAGTGAGACGGAGACGAGAAGGAGAGCGACAGTGGGAGTGAGACAAAGACAAGAAGGAGAGCGACAGTTTGAGTGAGACGGAGACGAGAAGGAGAGCGACAGTTGGAGTGAGACGGAGACGAGAAAGAGAGCGACAGTTGGAGTGAGTCGGAGACGAGAGGGAGAGACAGTCGGAGTGAGACGGAGAAGCCGAGGGAGAGAGTCGGGGAGAAAGAGACAGAGAGAGGGAGGGAGGGAACGGAGCGAGCGAGGCCAGCGGAGCGCGGCAAGCGAGCAGAGAATGCGCTGGAGTCTTGGTTGTGGAATGTGCTGAGTTGATCAAATGAAGTGACGACGGAAATAGAAATTGTCCGCGTAAAGTTCAGCACTACATGTATGTTGTAGACGTGTCCCATGTGTGTGTGTGTATGTGACGCAGGCGACACCGTTAATTGATTGGGGCGTGTTTATCAATCATCAGGTGTGGACAGCATGGAGCGAGTTAAATAATGTTTGAATGTGGATGAGTGAATTGTTGGAGTTTGGAAACGTTGCTGTGTAGAGTTGAATATGAAGAAAAGTTGTCGTCGGCTGACTTGTTTCCTTGTGTTTGTTTTTCCTCACGCACACACACACACGTGTACATAAATCCTCACCCGCACGTACACACACCTCTACGTACATACATTCATATCCATGCACGCATACACACACACACCGCACATGCACACACGTATATACGTGCACATATTTAGACGTGCACACACCGCATACATACATACACTTTCACATGCATGCACGCATAAACGAATACAAAGACAAAGATCCCCCATATAGCCTTGACAGGCTGTTGGGGAACGTGCTACACACACATACACACATACATACACACACATATATACACACACAAAGTCCACCCCCCACCTACCCCATAAACACGCAGCAACAACCGCCCAACCGCAACCACCGATGAAGGGCAACCGACCGCCTCCCCTCCCAGGGAACCCACCCCCTCCCCCTGCCCCAGGGTACCCGCCCGGTGATCCCGCCTACCCCCCACAGGGCAACCCGCCGCCCCCCCCAGGATACCCGCCCGGTGATTTCGCCTACCCCCCACAGGGCAACCCGCCGCCCCCCCCAGGGTACCTGCCCGGTGATCTCGCCTACCCCCCAAGGGCAACCCGCCGCCCCCCCAGGGTTCCCGCATGATGGCTCTGCCTACCCCACACAGGGCAACCCGCCCCCACCCCCAGGGTACCCGCCCGGTGGCTCCGCCTACCCCACACAGGGCAACCCGCTGCCCCCCCCAGGGTACCCGCACGGGGGCCCCGCCGACTACCCGACTCAACCCCCAGATGGGGCCGTCAAGTTTGGCCCCATGCCGGTGGGATCAGAGCCGCCACATGTGGGAGGTGAGGTGGGGGGGTTTGGGATGCGGGGCGAGAGGAGGGGGGATCGGGGGGGCCGCTGGGTGACCTCCCCGCCCCTGCTCCTCCGGCGGGGTCGGGGAGGTCACCCGGTTCTCCACACTGTGGGATGCCACTCCCCGCCCGTGTATTTGTCAAGCGGACGTTCGTGACGTCTAATAATAATTACCATCGAGACAATTCGGGAATGCTTTTTGTCCTTCCACGTAAAACTAACATTTTTACACATCCCATCAGCCACACGTCCTTCTTGGAGTGACATTTCCGCAGCATCGGTTCGCCACAACGCAAAACCTCTGCACCGGTTTCGACATTCAGTGCCACATCAGCAGAGTCAGGTTTGCTTGAACCAATGCTGGCGAACTGGCCCAGATGTTCAAAGGCAAGGGCCCCACCTCCATTAGATATTGGGTCCGCAAAACTAACCGCACTAAACATAGAAAAATATCATTATCCGTTGTGGACAATATTAGTAACCAAATGTCCTCGTTGCATACGGCGACGTGGCACAGCGGTTGCGCCTTCGCCGCTTGTTGTTGCAGAAGTTCGCGGTTCGATTTCCAGCGGCCGCCCTGGTTAATGCGCGCGAGTCTATTAACCCCCCAAAAAATCCCGCCGTCTGCTTCAAAGTGGACATTGAAATACCAAGTGATGTAATTCTCAAGAGTAGGCTATCGCGCGATATCAGCCACGTCGACGATGAGTTATCATCACGTGGCCAGGTCGCCTCTGAAAAAGAACAAAGAGCTCAATGCAAATAAAATACTGTGCCTTAACTGTAGTCTTTAGTTTTAGTCGAGAATATGACCAATGTTGATGTTGGTCATTCCAATTACTCGAGTTACTTTAACGAGCAATTGTTCTAACCGACTGTTCCCCCCACCCCATACCACCCTCCTGCCCCACCCCAACAGTTGGTCAGGCCGTCGGTCCCAACGTGGTGTACGTGTCCCAAGTTCCGAACCAGCATTTCAGATCAAACAACTCCGTGATGGCCACGTGCCCGTCCTGCGGTCAGTCTGTGATGACGCAGATGCAAGGCATCGTCTCCCTCTTCACGTGGTTGATCGCCCTCTCACTCTGCCTTGTGGGGTAGGCCAGCAGTTCTCTCGTCGGGAGGGCGGGCGCCCATGGTCGCGAGGTGTTAACTACCTCGCCTTGTATACAGGAGGTCATGGGTTCGATCCCAACCCTAACGCCTACTGTATATATGGATGTTGCATCTCTCTCTCTCTCCCCCGTGGTCGTGTGGATTTTTCTCCGGGTCCTCCGGTTTATCCCTCCACATTTAGAAACGTGCTTTAAGAGTATTTGGCTGCTATTAATTTCCACACGAGTCAATTCGTTAAGGTATCATTTGTGGCCAGGTCACCAACCGAACCAACTTCACGGGCGGATTCCGCTCTCTGTGTAAAGTCGATGCTGACCTGGAATGTAGAAAAGTCGCTATAGCCACGGAACAGTGACATTGTCTTGCAATGGTGGGCAATGTAGAGAGGTGGCTGTACGATTGGTGCATTGAGTATGGACACATTGTATATTGAACATCTTTCGCACCATTCATAACCAATTGTGCTAATCGGAGGTGTGCGGGAAAGGCAGCAAACTAAACACAAAAATAAGTTCTATAGAAATGAGTTTCAATTGAGATTTAACAGTTCATAGCTCCAGTGGCTTCCAAAAATAAGAATAAACACATTCCTCCTGCGGAGGGAGCTGGTAGGAACGTTGGGTTGCTCGGTCAATGGCCAGGGTCAACGGCGGCGTGGTGTATTCCACAAATATGGCTGACTAAGGGCGGACACAAGCCGGTGTGAGTAGGTTAAACGTTGAGTTTTATAAGGGCACCACAGGGTGACCAGCCCCTAGCCACCCAGCCCCACCCCTCCCACCCCCCCACCCAGCCTCACCCTCCCCACCCAGCCCCTCCCCACCCTCCCCTCCCCACCCAGCCCCTCCCCACCCAGCCCCTCTCCACCCTCCCCTCTCCACTCAGCCCCACCCCTCCCATTTTTGGATGCACGACGGGCGGACAAAATAATCCCCTGTGGGCTGGTGTATGACCAGGAGGTTCCTACCAGTATTATTTATATTGGAAGAGCGTTCCAGACGGCCGCAAAAGCGCATCTGAAAGCGAGCAATGCAGTGTCCGTCTTTGTTCGATGGTTACATGAGGTGTTTTGGGAGATGCCGTATGTGTAGTGATGGTGGTAGTCGGCGATGTAATTAGAGCAATGTAATGAAGCACAGGTCTTCATAGATTGTTCTGAATCTACTCTTCTCTCTTTGCCCTGCCCCAGTTGCTGGCTCTGCTGCTTCATCCCCTTTCTGGTGAATGACTGCCAGGACATCGAGCACAGCTGCCCGATGTGCCACGCTCACATCTACACCTACAACAAGATGGGGTGAGCACGTGGCGCCCGCCCGCGCGTGTGTGCCCACGCGCATCCTACCACGTGCACGACGACGTCTACCAAACGAGATATGTGAGCCAGAGGTCGCAATCAGGTACCCGTACCCGTACCCTACCCGATACCTGGCTACCCGTACCCGGCCGGGTATGGGTACGGGTACCCGTTTGCGACCCTGGTGCGGCCGGGTACGGGTACGGTAGGCCGTGAGTCACTGGTGAGTAACCGTTTGTCACTCATTTCCCAACGTCTTGTCTCTTCCTAGAATCAACCCACCCGCGCCTGCAACATGGCTTCATCCCAGAGGTTGCAATCGGGTACCCGTACCCGTACCCTACCCGATACCTGGCCGGGTATGGGTAGCCGGGTATCGGGTAGGGTACGGGTATGGGTACCCGTTTGCGACCCTGGTGCGGCCGGATACGGGTACGGGTAAGGAATCAAAACCCGTTTGCGACCTCTGTTGTGAGCACGTGGCGGCTGTCACGCGTGCGTGCGCATGCACATCCTACCACGTGGACGATGACGCCGTCCAACGAGATGGGATGAGCACGTGGCAGCTGTGTCACTCACTCACGTGCGCGCTAACAGGATACAATGAATCCGCGATAGAATGACACGTTATGTTCATAAAGAAGGAAGGCAATCAGCGTCAAGGAGCAGCCGAATGTTGAGTTTTTTTAGATCCACAAATCGTCGGTTTCGATCCAGAAATCTTGTGACAGGTATGACTTTACATTTCATCGATAAGGCATGGATCAAGCTTTGTATCGTTAAAAAATATGTCGATTCCCTTTCCCGTAATCCTTATATGGTCAAAGCCACGCCCCATTGCTCCATATATGGACCTAACATTAACATAATGTGTCATTCATTTTATCGCGGATTCATTTGATCCTTTTACAGCGCACATGCGTTCGACGACGCGGGTAGATGAAGGCGGGCAGCGTAGACGTGGGGTAACATAGTACAGTAGAACAACAATGGGCGTTTATGCATTGCCAGCCGTGGGCCAAAGCGTCGCTCAGCCGCAGCCGCTTAGGGGCCGTCCATAAATGACGTCACGCGATTTTGGACGATTTTTGATCCCCCCCCCCCTCGTGACACGGCGTCAGAAAAAGTCAGACCCCCCTCTCAAATATGACGTCACAAAGCTCTGACCCGTCCCCAAATCATATCTCCATTTTGAAAATAAAACATGCTTCAAATCGCTTTAAACTATTGCCATTGTAGTGCGTATTTAATGTGGCGCTGCACTCTGATGTTGTAGGAGTGTTGTTATAACAATTAGTGTTGTTATAACAATTCTATTTTTATTTCAAGTTGCGCATTTTGATGTGACGTCATATTTCTCAAACCCCCCCCCCCCTCGTCACACATCGTCACAAATGTCTTACCTCCCCCCCCCCCCCTTGGTGCGTAAACGTCATTTATGGACGGCCCCTTATTATATTATAACACTTCTTTTGTGCGTCGTGGTTTTTACATTGTGCTTGGAATTATATATATACTCATATATATATAAAAAAAAGTTTATTGCAGTGTTGTAAATGTGCTAATTATAAGCACGACAAACACAGTTATGATTCTTAATCCGATTATTGACAATGACGGGGACTAAATTAAGTCCTGTAATTGTGGGGGTTTTGTGAACCTATAATAATCTACTTAAATGTGTTTTCATGTGAAACGGAGCGGAATGCTGTGATTGGAAGTGCCCAAAATGTTCGGCTTTGGGGGATTGCACTCATTCGTAGCATTCTCAAACACGTTGCCGTATTCTGCAGATTATAAGACGCTACGCAAAGTTAGACGCGCACTCCACACTTGTGCCGGGTGTCAGCAACGTTGTACATATCTGGCCTTGCACACACACACACTTATCGAACGATAAGATGCATCCCCAACATTTCTTTATAATATATAAGTACGTCTTATCATCTGAAGAAGACGGGAATGTATCGACCCTAAGTCCTCACTTAACGTGGTAGATGCGTTCCTGAAAAGTGTCGCGGGAGGCGAAAAACGCGTGAAGCGAAAACTATATTTCCCCCTTAAATAATGTAGTAGCGATAAATTTGGCTAAATACGATGTAGTACGCACACACGGTGAGATGGCGGGACAAATAACTGACGGTACTCCGCCACCGCATTACTGTATCATTCCGCGTACTGTATCACTGGACCGCTCAGCCACGCAGCTCAAAAAAGTAGTTCATCGTCGAAAGCTCAGAAACCGCGTTATAGCGAGGCGCGTTACGTGTTATAACGAGGCGCGGTCTGCATTATAACGAAGCGTGTCGTGCCGAAAAGTGTTCCCGAACAAAAGAACCGCAATACAGCGACAATGCATCGCTGTGTGTGAACACCGCTCGTTAAGCGAGGACTTACTGTGTGTGCATTAAAACATATTTGATGATGCTGCCGCATCGTTGCCAGTGGTGCACTAGCACATTCAAACACAAACTCGGACACACGTGTTCCTTTGTAATTGGGGGTGGGGGGGGGGCTGCTCAATTGTCCTCACAGGAACACAGCTTCACACAATGCATTGCGGCAGCAACATAAAAAAATGTATTTAATACAAATTAGTTTGTTGAGGAATACTTTGCATGAGTCAAGGATTCGCTGGCACTCAAATAGCTACGATGAGCAAACTATTCACGTAACCTATTTAGAAACTGGTCATTCGAAAACTGATCTAAATTGTAATTCTCATCCAGTCCCCATGCTGAGAACAAGTCCCCAGCTCTTATTTCCCATGTCGCTCTGGTCTTTCTGTTCATGTGGTACGAGGAAGGGCTATTGACCGAAACGTCGCCAATTATATATTATTTTAAGACGGTAATGCATATATGGTTATTGGGGGTGGAATGATACATGGATTCATAGGTGAACATTGATTCCTGAGTGTTTGATAACAGGCATCAAACAGCGAGTGTTAAGAATCATTTTCCGAATGTCTTGTATGATGAGTTTCACTGTGCACCTCCAGCCGCAAGATGCCGCTACATTGATCAGAACTTTTAGGGAAAAATCCCGATTCTTTAATGTCATTGTTACTCTGAATGGTAACAATTCATTGCATCTGGGGGGCAATAATCTGTCCACCCCTATCACCTCTGCACGCATGAATATCCAGTATTCACCTTGGCCCAACCAACTAACGTTTGGTTAACGTTGGTCTAACGTTGGTTCAACGTTGGTTCATCGGTTCCAACCACATGCCAACGTTGACCCGACGTTGTATGACGGGCAACTGTGTTTTAACGGGTTCCATAATTATTTGTGATCATCAGTGCAGTAGTCTTATCTTTGGAGCAGTTTTTTTCAGGCAGTTGTGTTAATACGGGTTTCAACATTACTGTATTTGTAAATCATCGGTGCAATTTTGTATGTCATGCGATTGTTTTAATACGGGGTTTCTTCGTTATTGGGAATCATCAGTACAGCATATCCTGTGCACCGCGTACAAGGGAGATGTGCGTTACGACTGCTTTCACCCTTACTAAAGATCGTCAGTTGCAGTAAAGCTCTCAACAGAAGCCAAACGTCATCGTGAAATGTTAAGAAAATATAAAATGTTTAATCAATCTCACACCGATTAATAATAAAAATCATGATGTATCTTCTCTATTTATAAAAGGGAAATTTGTGAATGTGTGTCTGTTCAAAATGTTTAGCCTACTTCCCGACATGCAACAAACTTGAAATGTGCCATGTGGGTACTTTCCAGATTGGACACCATGCAAAAATTTAAAAAATAGACTTTTGTTTTTTTTTGGGGGGGGGTAAGGGGGGCGCAATAATGCATAGATTTTGCACGGCAAGTGAGCTGTGACGTCACATCTGTCATGTGACCCGTGGGCGGAAGCGTAACGGAGTGTGCGTGCTGATCGCGAGTAAAGTGCCATACAAACGTGTTGCAGGTCTAAGGCGTTCTTCGCACAGCATTGCCTTATTTCAGTCGTTTACTGCCGAACGCACCCTGAAAGTTGTGTGTGTCTGCAGCAAGCGCGTGTATGTGCACCTATGGACGCGCGCGCGTGTGTGTTTGTGTGTGTGTGGAGAGCGGTAGTGTAGCGGTTAGCGCGCAACGCAACGAACCCGGCGGCCCGAGTTCAATTCCCGCTCACGGTCAACACCGGTGACGATTATTTGAACCGGTCCTGGGCCTCCCCTAGGTCGACTCAGCCTCAAACGAGTAGCTGGTGTGGTGTGTGAACATCGCCACTGGGGAGACAAAGGCCGCCGGGCGTGGTGAATCCAAGTCCCGGGCGAAGCCGGGTAGTAAAGCTAGTATATATATAAAAAACAACAATTTTGATGATGGGAGCGGTGGGGCAGCAGTTGGCGCACTGCGCTCCCAACGCGGCCACCAAAATGGTGGCGAAGCCATGAGCCGGTCCTGGACCTCCCTGAGGTCGATTCAGCTTTAAATGAGCACCTGGATACGGTGTGCACACACAGCCACGTGGGGGAGAGACAGAGGTGTAGGAGCCACAGAGGTGTAGGAGCCACAGTGGTGTAGGAGCCACAGTGGTGTAGGAGCCACAGAGGTGTAGGAGCCACAGAGGTGTAGGAGCCACAGAGGTGTAGGAGCCACAGAGGTGTAGGAGCCACAGAGGTGTAGGAGCCACAGATGTGTAGGAGCCATAGAGGTGTAGGAGCCACAGAGGTGTAGGAGCCACAGATGTGTAGGAGCCACAGATGTGTAGGAGCCACAGAGGTGTAGGAGCCACAGAGGTGTAGGAGCCACAGAGGTGTAGGAGCCACAGATGTGTAGGAGCCACAGAGGTGGTAGGAGCCACAGAGGTGTAGGAGCCACAGATGTGTAGGAGCCACAGAGGTGTAGGAGCCACAGAGGTGTAGGAGCCACAGATGTGTAGGAGCCACAGAGGTGTAGGAGCCACAGAGGTGTAGGAGCCACAGAGGTGTAGGAGCCACAGAGGTGTAGGAGCCACAGAGGTGTAGGAGCCACAGAGGTGTAGGAGCCACAGAGGTGTAGGAGCCACAGAGGTGTAGGAGCCACAGAGGTGTAGGAGCCACAGAGGTGTAGGAGCCACAGAGGTGTAGGAGCCACAGAGGTGTAGGATCCACAGAGGTGTAGGAGCCACAGAGGCGTAGGAGCCACACACACACGCTCACTTCCCTGCGTGTGCCATGCCAGCCTTCATCAGTGGTCACCACGAGCAGCCTCGATAGCTGTCAAAGGCTACACCGGGGAATCTCTGCCTTTGTTACCTCAATGGGAGCTCGCTAACAATGCCATGATTACAGCGCTGCTGGATCGTGAAAGACACCCAAATTGCAGGCCACAATGATGACTTTGAGACGCGCTTGTTTTTCGCCCCCCCCCCCTCCTTCGTGAGCGGGACGAGGAAGTTCAGTTGCTACTTTGCTTAAAGTCGGAATGTGGGCTGACTCGTGTCTTTATTGCGAGACGCTGCATTCTTCCAGCAAGTGACTAAGTTAATGTTCTCCTACGCGTCGTTGAGAAGGGTCAATACGCGTGAAACTTGAAACTTCAGGATATGGTGCGGGTGATATTTGTCTTTGTCGTGTGTGTGTTGGTGCATGGGTGGGTGTGTGTGTGCGGTGGTGAAGTGGTCAGCGCACTGCGCTACGAACCCGGCAACCCGAGTTAAGGCGAGAGGAGGGACATTTGTCTTTGCATGAGTCAGCCCATGACACCTGGGTCTGTCCCGTGACCTCCTGCCAGCAGCGAGCCTTTGACATTTCACGTGGCCTCAAGAATGCACCCATCCTAGCACAAACGCCGTGGTGACTTCGCTGTTGTTGTGTGCGATTCAATAGCCCATCAGGGGCCAGGGCTCTCGGTGGGTTATTCTTCATACTTTCGGGGTCCCCTGACCCACTGCTCACAATCATGAAGGACCTTCATGACAGTGGGCAGGCCCGGGTAGAGCCATTCACTGTTCAGCTTGGGGTGGTGCTACAGAGATGTCCTCTGGCTCCTATATTAGTTCATAACGGTATCTATCTCGACAAGGTAGTTCGAGAAGTTTTCTAGAGCTGTGCCAGAGGAATCTCGACAAATCTTCAACTAGTACAGCTACAGTGGGAGGCTGACCAATGCCCGGGTGCAGTGAATATATGGCTCCCTTTTAGTCAATCATGTTGATCCGCATGCTGATGATCTGATATTTGTGGCTCACTCAGAGATGGGAGTTGGTGACTCTACCGGCTGAACTGGGGGAAACAAACGATGCCGGGCGTGGTGCTGGCCAAACCCACCCCCTCGTGTGCAGTGATGGCCTTCATGGATGCTCTCCAACAGCGCTAGCCCCAACAGTCTGTTAAGGCTATACGGGGAGCCCGTCGTCTTAGTGTGCGCGTGTCACTTGCTGTGTGAATTGGCATTAGATGCTGCATACATTCACATTGTTACCCAGTCACCTGTGACAACATCACCTG